TTTAGCAAATTAGACAAAGCTTGGGATATGGGGTGTTTTCCAAAGAAAGACAAGCACTGAATTGTTTAACTGTCTGGAGGCAGTGAATTTCACAGTATAGCTGCTGGCAAAAGAGGGGAAGCATGAGACAATGTACACCATCTTTGCTTTAAATGATACAACGCTCCAGGTGTACTATAAAGGTAGATGAAAGGGAAAAAAAATAAACAATAGCAAAATGATATTAATTTGAAAAGTAAGAAGTGGATCTTTTAAAGACAGCCAGCACGAAATACAATTAGAAGAAGTATTTCTCAAGAAGGAAGTTTCAAAGAATTTGATGATATTGACTTGGACCTTTGTAGAAGTCAATTTACGGAAATCCAATAAATGTTTCCAATTCCATCTTTCTTCCACTCATTCCCTTATTGTCTCCCACACTGGTTAAGAGAGCTGTCCACAATCTTTTGGAAAGGATGTTTTTGTGTGTGTCTTTGAATAGAGAATTTTATTTTCTGAATTTATCAGGATATTAGAAAGTGATACCTGCTGTACACAAAGAAACTGGGGAAACAGTTTTAGGCTTTTCTTAGGATCCAGATATGATACTGAAATGCAGATTTGGTAACAGCTAGGAATCTCCAATTTTAGTTTGTACTAGTGAACATCTATAATTGTAGTCATCAGACTACTTCTAATCTTCTATTGGACCCTATCAAGGGAATGTCTCTCCTTTTAATTCTAGTTGCATGCTGTGTCCTAGTGAAGAATATTATATCTATACAACCCCACAAAATTTTGAGTCATGAAGACAGATTTTAACAAATTTGTACTTTTGTGACTACAAATTACAGATGCTTACTGTAATTTGAATGTAGATAGTGATAAGGTTGCCAGGAAGCAGAAAGTTAGGATGGAAAGCTAGGTAGAGCAGAATTTCTGAAATTCTTTCCAACTTTTAATAGTTCTGCTCTGTAAGTCACAGAGAAATGACAGAATATGAGTGGGAGTGTACAATTAAGGAGCTGGCAATATTCCAAATCATTTCCTAACCAACTCTCTCATGGGGATGCATAGGTAGAATATTTCTAAAATGTGTTCCCATTTTGTTCATTTTTTTTTAGTTAGAATGGTGCTTAAAATTTTTTGAATCCCTTTGAATTTTAAATACCGGTATTTCTGTAAAAACATGACTTAAAATGTGATCTATTCTCCACACATGTCCTTACACTTGATAAAGAAAACCCACTTAAGCAGATGAGTCAAAATATTGTACTTGAGGCATTATGGAGGCTCCTTATATGCACAAGTCTAGCTTTTTTCTGGAAGACAGATTTGTTTTTAATATCTAGGTAATGTTTTTTTAAAAAGAGTGGTAGTATTCTCTACATGGAAGTTCAGTTTAAACTTGATTTGGCCAGTTGTGTGTTGCTGGTTATGTCCCAAATAGGTGCATTATAGGATTTCCTCCTCCTCCTCCTCCTCCTCCCCTATTAGCCAAGCCCTGGTTCGACCCAGGTCCACCATTCTTTCATTAGTTCAAGACTGCCACCATATTTTAAAGATAGCCATTTGGATTTTTCTATTGCATGGGACAGAAGCTAAAATTAGAGAAATGCATAAATTCTGCCCTTAAATTGTCTGCAGTAAAGCTCTAAGGACAGGACTTCTTACAAGCTCATAGTATTAAGCCAGTTAGAGTTTGGTTATTGAGGCAGAATAAATTGCAAAGAAAATTGGAAGTATATTCATGAAGACAGCCATGGGGAAGAGTCTGTGTGTAGGACTAAATATGAAGTTGGAATAGTCTTTGCTGACTGATGTCTTATATTTACCAGTTGCGCAGATCCCAGAATTCGTATTCCAAAACTCTTAAAGCAAACTGTTAATTCTGAAAGTGAAAGCACAATCTAGATGTGTTGTGTTAAATTGGAGAACAGTAGAATGAAATATGAGTTAAAGCTAGAGAGCTAGAGATTGTGAGAGGTTTACTTTATGAAAATTGCCACTTGCGAGGGTGTTAGTGAACTATTGCTTTTACAGATAGGCTTTTAATTTGTGTATCTGTGTCTGTAAATAAATTTTGTTTTAAGAATGTATACACTGCTTGTTCCACTAACTATTGGATTGTGTTAAAATCAATTAAAAGAGTAGTTAAATGATACAACAAATGAATGTATAACACTGATAAGGAAACATTTAAAATCCCTGGAAAAATAAGTTGGAATGGAAGTTTCTTCCAGATGTTGATAATTTATTCTACTAGGTAGGCCCCACTGTGGAAACTGTTGAATTCATTGTTATCAAATATATCTGGAGAAGACTCACAACAAATACCTGCGGTATTAATGACCTAATTGTTCAGGGAGGACTGCATAAAAACAGGCATTTCTGTAAGTGGCTTGAGCTTAGGTGTAAACCATTTTGTTTCTTGTAGCGCATGCAGCATTTCCAAATCCGAGAGACTTCTATGATGGTGTGGCTGTGGCTGCAGTTATGCAGCCTACATAGTATAGCATAGCTATATTATATGAACCTCCACTTTTCTTTATTTGTAACTGCTTTGAGTATCAATTTGCATAAGCAGCAGTCCTGTTCTTCCTTTGACGTACTTTGAAATGCAGAAAGATTTTAAATTAATGAGAGTATTTTTTTAAAAAAAACACGCAAGGATGTTGTATACATTTAAAATATTTCCCTCATCAGTATTTCTGCAAAACATGAAGGAAAGAGGGTAGAAAAGATCTAGGAAGGCTATAGTGAAGACATAACATTCAAGACATAAAACAAAACATTGTTTTTTGTAGTCTGATTTAAAACATATGAAGAATGGTTATAAGAAATGGACATGGCTAATCTAGTGAAGAGAAGGACCAAGGTGATGTGATAGTGATATTCAATATTTGAGGGGCTGTCACAGAGAGGAAGGGGTAAACTATTTTCCAAAGTATCTGAAGGCCAGACAAGGAATAGTGGATGGAAACTGAAATTATTCAACCTAGAAACAAAGAGAAATTTTCTGACAGTGAGAACAATCAACTAATGGAACAACTTGCTTTCAGAAGTTGTTGGTGCTTCATAACTTGAGGCTTTCAAGAAGATACTGGACAGCCAGTTGTCAGAAATGGTATAGGGTCTTCTGTTTGAGCAGGGGCTTGGACTAGATGACTTATAAGGTCTCTTTCAAGATGAAAAAGAAACTTTCGGATCATAAGACTGAAAGATACAGTATGTAAGATCCACACTGCTGTACAAATGGAGTATTATTATCTGAATCTTGTGAAATTACATACACAGGACCAATGCTTTTTAAAGAAAAGATTTGTAAAAAAAGAACTATAGGTAGTTCTTGACTTACAACCATCCATTTAGCAAACTGCACTGAAAAAAGTGCAGTCCTCAAACCTATGACCATTGTAGCATCCCCCATGGAGTTTTTTAAGGAAGCAGATATTTTGGAGAGATCAGGGAATTTAATCACTTATCTAAGATCAGTGGCTATTACATTTCCTTGTGTAATTCCCTGTTGATAATAAGACTATAATATACACATGTGTATAGAAGCAAATTCAGACATGCAGACCAAGATCTATTCTATAGCCTTTGGAAGCTATTCATATGATTAAATTGTGGTTGTGGCAAAAGTGCTGAGAACTGAACTGAGTTGCATTACAATAGATATAGATTGCATTGTTGTAAGTCGACAAAGCATCAGTATAAATACAGCTATTTACAGTTTATTGAAAATGTAATGCTTAATTCAGAAAACTACACTAGCAGAATTATAAGTGGTATGCCCATGTGGTGCATCCTGTTATGCTGCTATCATGTGGGGAAATTCTTAATGCAAACATTACATCAAGTATCTACTTCTCAGGCCAATAAAATATTTTTCTTTTCTTCTCTCCTTTTAAATTCATAATAGACATTGTGTTGCAATTATTATTTTTCAATTGGATGAGGTATGGTCATTGAGAAAAGTAAATTTTAGAGATTGTTGATAGAAGGATACAATTGCTTTTTTAGAGACTTGTTCTATACAATATTAGTTGAATGAATTAGCTGCCCCAAACCCATTGTTTACAGTGGGTAAAATGTTTTAATTCAAACCTATATCTCTGTAAATTCAAATACAATGGCTCATTTCAGCTGTCAAAGTCAGATTCAGCAAGTGTGATGATGCTTTTGCCAAGATTTATTAGACCAAAGAGACTGGCTAAATAATCCAAGATTGTTCATGATATGTTAAAGTTACACCTGGAGTACAGCCCTTGGTTTATTGTTGTTTTTTTAACAAGCCAGTATCTTAAGCTGGATTTGTACTTAGTTTACAGCCTGTTCATTTTTATTTTTATTTTTTAGCTGAGTGTTTTGGGGACTATTGCTAGTGGTCTGTTAACATCCTAACAATGTGGCACTGAAAACTTGGAGTGTAAAGAGTTTTAATTGCAAAATAAGCCTATTAACAGAGTATTGGAAATAACTGAAGGGTAGAGAGGTTTTTGGTCTCTGTGTTTCTGTGTTTGTGAAGCTCTTCCCCTGCCAATAATACCTAAGTGGATTGGGCAGTATGTTCTTCTCCAGCACTGTTTTTTTAAAAAAAAAGAAAAGAAAAGAAATTCATCTTACTGTGACTATTCAACCATCTAGTGAATTCATGTTTTATTTTTCTACTTCCTTTTTGAATTAGGAAGATTTTAAAATGGAAAAAAAATTCCTTATTTTCATTGAAGACATTGAGAATTAATTGTTCTGAGTTAGTTAGAAAGGAAAACTCTGCCCAATGTTGTGAGTTCATGATGTATACTTCTGAAATTTACTATTGATTTTGAAATTTAAGGTGCTCTTTATGCTAGCTGTCCTAAACTTGGCACCTATCATGTCTTAGTAAGATGATGCTAGAATTCTCAGCCCCTGGAGATTACCATACCAATATAACCAATTAGGAAAACGTTGCTCTCTGCATAAAGTAAAACTGAAAATCTCTGCTTTTAATCACTGATAATGTTTTATGTGTGCAGGAGATTATGAAGATGGGGAAGAGAATGAAAGGTTTTGTCCTGTTGTTCCTGACAGTCTCTCTCTAGCATCTGACCGTTATGATAAAGAGGATGAAGCTCCTTCTGATGGTGAGTGATTTTTCTAGATCTCATCCTGAATAATTATAATATTGTTGATAGATTGGTTGGACTCTAATGAACTGCATAAGAAGATATTGGAGAAAAGTAAAGTCTCAGGAAGCTTAAGGCCCTGAAAAGTTTCTTACCTTTCCAAGCTTGTTAAGGAACTGAAGAGCACTCTCTAGTGGCAGAAAAAGCATGGTGAAATAATAATATTTGAAATTATATGCTTGATTGTTTTTTGTTAAAATTAAAACATGTTTCTTAGATGTCCTTCATAAGCAAATAAATCAGTGATTGAAATATTTTTTATTCTTTCAAATACAAAATGGGACAGATTCTTAAAAGAATAAATAATTTATTCTTAAGATTTTTTTCCAGTTAATAAGTTAGTGTGTACTGTACTTACTGAACAATTATTTTTTAAAAATTTGAACACTTTTCCTACAGTTTTAAAATAAAAAACATAATCAGTTATAATTATATTTTAAGGGAAAATAATTCAGGGAATCATGGCTTGCTACCTTTTACTAATGAGAATTAAGTGATGTTTGATAAATCACACATACATACAACTATCAATTTAAATGAATTTGTTGCTCAAACATTTAGACTATTGGGGAAGTGATGGTTTGCCATATACTGATCAAATTGTTTAGTTCTGTTTCAATTGTTGAATGAAAATATGCTTTTTACAGCATGATATGCTACATTTTATGTTATTCAGATTATTCCCTTTGGAATCATATATTGCATTTATGAGATATAAAATTATGACTATTGCAGGATAGGGATAACTCAGATAGAGTGATAAACCTTCTAACAGCCAAGCAAGCAGGATCTTAGTGTTCTTTGAATTCTGTAGATTGTATAACGTTAACAATAAAAGTTTTCCTGTTTTGAATCCACCTTTGTTTTTATATTCTAAGAAAAAAACCAGTTAAATATCAGCAATAAAATAGCCTTTTAAGTTTTTTTTAAATAAATGTATTTATTGGTATAATAGATTAGATGAAGTTTTTAGACTTATTTTCCCCTGAAGGCATTAAATAGAGTATAAACCTTTGTCTTTATCTGACAAATCTGGTGCTTATGTTCTGTTCCCCGTGTTTTATGGCAGCAGACACATTCAACACATTGAATACATATACAAAGAAGCAAGCATGAGAAATATTTTTTCTTGTTTGTTTGAGAGAGAAAAAAATGGACAACTGCTTTTGTTTATGAAAATGAAAAGTCAATTGTAGAACAGTGTTGAAGCCTGAGCCTTAAGTATAATACAAATGCATTAACTATTCATTTTAAAAAGCTTCCAAATACTACTATTAAGCTATGTTAATTATTATCAATTTGAATATTTTACAAGGTCTTTATTTTGTAAAAAATCAAAATTACTTATATTAACAAAAGGCCTATTGAACAAGTCAACAATCTTAAACTATTAAGTAGAAATAGAAACAAATGTTGAAACTGAGAAATAAAATGATCTATAATTAATTTGGTAAAGTAAAATAATTTTTGCTTGGTATCTTATAGCTAATAGTAAGCTATAGCAAGCCCTAGCAAAATTATATGTATATTTCTTGCACAGATCCTATAAAGTTTATGGAATTTACCTAAAGAGTATAATATTGAAACTATTTGTTTTTCTCCTACACCTCATAAATATTAATATTTAATCTTTATATAAGTTTTTACTGATGTCAGTCCAATAAATCACTAAGATGTCTGTTAGTTGAGAAATGAATTCTATTTATAGCATGGGCTATTCAGAAATAAATCCCCTTGAACATAATGGATATGGGGTTTAAGATTAATTCTTTAATGCAGTCCTTCTTTTCTCTCAATTAAATGCCTTAAGGAAATTGACATTTTAACTATCTAAATCCTCTTTTGAATATAGTAGTGGAACGTTGGCAGATTCTTTTTGAAAGCATAAAGTTTCTCATATACAAAATGCTTAAAAGAATTCCAGATATTTCATTTATAAGTTTGGTAGGAACATAGGTTAGAGATTTGTGTATCCAGATAAAAGTGATGGACACTGTGTTCTAAGTAGCTTAGAAATTATAAGCAGCCAGTGGCATCTTTAATTAAAAGATCATTCATCTTTAACTAAACCTTTCAGCAGTATTTTTAAGACCATGCCATAAATACATACATTTTATTTAATTGTAAATTTTTAAATTAACTATTTAGCATTTTATTCACAAGATAAAGATTGTATAAACAAACATCTTTGTTTATAACTGTAGAGCGCTGTATATATTTATTTATTTTTCAAATTTATAATGTAGCCCATCTCACAAAATAAGTGACTTTGACAGGTGGTCAACAAACTTAAAAAACAATTACAAATAATAATTAATATTATCAAAACATTAAAATGTATAAAAACCGAGCTAAAGACAATTATCATATAGTACTATATTGAAATATCATTTTGACCATCAGTGGAATAACTAAATGGGACAGAAATTTCTTTTCTGTCAAACTGGTAACTGCTTTGTCTTTCTGACTGTGGTCCCCCCCTCCAGAGGGCATGAGTTAGAATTCCAATTTTTGGGGGAATATAAAGTTGAACAATGAATGTGCTTTTTAGAATAATATTTAACATGGTTGCTGAAAATATTGGTTTTTGACATATACATCTCTCTATATATTTTAACGTCTGCTGCTGGCTTCCATTCTTTGTCTTGTAACAAATTATTTGCCCCCTCTCTCCCCAGTTCAAAAGTCCATTCAATTCCCTAATGGCTACCTAATTTTCTGGTTATTCCCCTCAAGCCATACGTGTTTTGGTTTCTTTATGATTTATTAGGTACTGTAGAAAAGATACATAAGTTACATCTTCTAATGAAATTCAAGCACACCTCAGTAATGCTTTGACTCAGTTGTCAGAAGCAATTAAATTTCTAGCAGGGAGAATAATACAGGGGCCCAGCCATCATATAGAAATGAAAAAGAAAGAAATTGTGAAAGTGAGAAAAACAGTTGGGAAGAAGCTACCTCAAAATAAAACAAGACATACAATTCTTGACCACTATATGGCTCCTGCCTGGTTCTTCTTTTATTGGCTTATGGTCTGATTGATAGGAAAATCATAACTTGCTATATGCTAACAGGCAGAGTTCACTTGTAGGTTATTATAAACTGATAAAGGCTTAGATGGAGGTTTGATTTTCACACTGGACCCGACTGCACCAGATTAATGGAATTACAATGAGAAGCTGGACTAGTTGCAGCTTTGTCAGAAAAACTGATGGAGATTCTATAGTCATGACTGCTCATTAATACAAGTTGTTTGAAAGGTATGGGGGCTTCTCTGTACAAAAGGCTCAGGATAACTGATTTTTGAATAGGATTTTATTTATTTATTGATGACTAGTTTTCTTATAAAACAAATGATGGCCTCTTCTATAGTACAACAGTGTTGCACATTTGTTAATATGTTTGTGGCAAGGAGTAGGCCTTGACCTGACAGTGTTCACCGTTGATAGAATTGGAAATCAGAAGAACAGGAGTGTATTGTTTTGCATATAAATCTTATATGGTAAATATTGCTGTTTTTTAAGAGAGATTTTTTTAAAAGTTGAAATGTGAACTATTTGCAACAAATGTTTGATCTTAATTTGGGAAAAAGATAGGGTACGGTAAATAAAAACAAAAAGTGGATTTTGTTTGTAGAAAAGTCATTCATACTATTATGCCATAGTACATTTACATCCCAACATCATACTATAATATAGTAGGATGGAATATTATTTTAGAGAAGAGATTTCAAAACAGCAGCATCTTCTGATTTATCCTGACTCTGATTTCTCTATTTTCCAATATGTTACCTTTGGAAAAAAAAGGCAATTTTTGAAATACTTGTGTGTGAGATTCCTCATAAGTCAGATGATAATAATTATACCCATGATTCAATCATGAATCTAATATGTTTATATGATTTCATGAAGAAAATTCAGTACCAGAAATTGCATGCCTATCAGTCAGAATGCAAAATTCAGCTGTGTACTTTGGGGATATTCAGATATATGTGCTGGCATACAAATGAAAGAAAATCAATCTCTCTTCACCCCAAATAAGAGATAGTACAATGACTTACTTCCAAGACTGATGGAATACTGAAGGGGCTTTCTGACAGGAAGCAGTAAACAGAGATGCAAGAAAGTAGATTTAAATAGCCCTCAGTAATATTTGCTACTTTGTAGGAAGTTTTTCTTATGTATGAGTGGAATAGAAATAGGACTACATGTCAAAAGATTAAAGAATTCATCCTTTTGATGGAATTTCTTTCTCCTTCACCAGAGTTTCTCCCTTTATTCTGGTGCAACTTCTGTGCAGACATTTTTCTCTGTTTTGGCTTCAAGATAGATAAAATAGATCCATCATTTTTACTATGTGAGTATCTAGAGTTATACTATGCCATTATTTATTTAGTCATAGGAATATAGGTAAGTGATAATAAAATCAGTTAATAATTTATGGTAGCCTGCCATGTCAACTTGATTCCTTCATTATCTTTCAAACTTCAAATAGCTTAACTACCAGACATAGTGGAAGTGGACAGAAAAAAAAACTAATGATCTTGTGATGCATTCTAAAGTGTTCTTTTGTTATGAATAAAAATTTGTCTATTTTTGTTCTGAGCTTACAATGCTAATAAGTAGATAATTTAGTGATTAGGCTTTAAAATAAACTCTTTACCCTGAGTTCAACAGTGGAAAACGGTGGCGTGCTAAGTATCTACATAGAGCAAAATGAAATCAATGCTTCATAAAATTGGTTATGACATACTACTTACGTATTCTTCATTAAAGCTTGTAGATCACATTAAAAGTAAGATGATATATTTGCTCTACTAACTTTAGTTAAACATTTTTAAAAGATTTGGAAGGTATAGGAAGGATTGTAGTTCCCAAGATAGATAGATAGATAGATAGATAGATAGATAGATAGATAGATAGATAGATAGATAGATAGATAGATAGATTTCAGTTAGA